AACCCACCAACTAACTTCCTCCTCTTCTCACACGAGGGCCTCAACCCGCGAACTGCTCATCGAAGCCTGCCGACGCAACAACACCGACCTCCTGACCGAAATCCTATCCACCCCGCCCCTCCTCAACAACGACGACGCGATCGCGACCGTCCTCAACCAAACGACCACCGTCCTCGGCAACCACCTGTACCACGAAGCCGCCGCACAGGGCAACTACGAGATCATCGACCTGCTGCTCGACCAGCCGGGCTTCGAATGCGACCCGATCAACCGGGCCGACGGCGACACGCCCTTGCACACGGCGGTGCGGTGGATCAACGGGGAGCCGGCGGGCCAGCGGGAGTTTGGCAACGCGCTGGTGGAGATGATGCTGGAGGCCGGGTCGAGCTCGCGGATCAAGAACCGCGGCGGGCTGACGCCGCTGCAGCTGGTGGATCCGCAGAATGAGGGGCTCAAGGAGGTGATTCGCAAGCATGAGTATGCGGCGCTGAATGCGGGGGATTTTGTCAGCGCGGATGAGGTGAAGGGGGGGAAGGGGTTGGTGGCGGCGGCGGCGGTGTCGTCATCGAGGCGGGAGAAGGAGGACGAGGAGGACGAGGATGCCGAGTTTAGTGGGAGTGATGACGAGGAGAGGGCAGAGTGGGAGCGCCGGAGGAAGGCCAAGAGGGGGTGAAGAGGAGGAGTGTGTATTTGGGGAGGCTGCTGGCTGGATAGGCGTGATATCAAATGATTTTAGCGCTGGGGGACACTGGGCGCCCGTTCTACGGTTGTTAGAGGCGAATAGACTTTGCTTGGTACAGACAGCTGAGTGATCTCCTTCCACCGTCTTGCGATCATGCGGCCAACATCTCTCTTTCCCAGTCGGTCAAAATGTGTGTCACGGGTGGATAACAAGTGATTCTTTTCTAGGGTATCTAAGGTCTATGCACAGGAGATCCCATCCCCAGTCAACACCCTCTCTCGGAGCAAGGTATCTCAACGTCCGATACTTACGCAAGTCTCAGAACACCGAACCGCCCACCACCGGCCATAACCACCCCAACAGCCACCACCCCCAAGCTCACCTTTCCCCTCGTCAACCCCCCACCACCCCTCCACCTCTTCTCCACATACCCCCAATCCCTCACCCTCCCCCACCCCTCGGCATCCAACCCGGCCCCTGCCCCAACCGACCTCACCTGCTCTCCAAACGCCCCCAAGATATCCGTACTCCTGCCGCGGGGACAGAAACGGACCTCCCAGCCGCCGCCGGCGGGCACGACAAAGGTGCTCGCGCGGTCGTCGTAGGCGAAGCTGTAGGCGTCTGGGCACACACGCTTGGCGCGCCGCGCATATGTGCTCGGCACGCACACACCGGGATCGTTGTAGGGCCCCGTGCAGCAGTCGGCGGCTTCGTGCGTCGCGCTGCAGGGGGAGAGGCACGGTTGGAAGGAGGGTCGCGGTGCCCAACTGCTGCTGTTACCGGCGCCGTCAGCTGGGTTAGAGAGAGCGTTGGGTCCGTCTGGCGCTGCTGCTCCTCCTGGGCCTGGTCCCGATCCTGGTTTGTTGTGCGGGGGGTATTGCTGGAGTTGGGATGGGCACCAGCTCTGGATTGTGTTGTTTGTCTCCACGGATTCGTATGGCATCGGGTAGGTGGTGTTGGTGTTGAGGGCGGAAAGGTCTGGAGAGGGGTGTAGGGATGTTGAGGATGACGGGGAGAGGTAACCCGCCGAGGCGATGCAGGCGCAATTGGTAAGGTTGGGCGGGATCCAGGTTGTGTTTGGGGCCGGGTGGTAGATTATGGCGAGGGGAAGGTTGTAGCCGTCGACTAGGGAGATGTCGTAGAAGGTTTGGTCGTTGAAGTCCCCGCCTTGGAGTGTGAATTCGGCGAGGGTGGTGGGGACTTGGCCCTGGGGGGATGGGTCAGCTCTACTAAGGGGCGTGTTTACTCCAGGAGAGACTTACCGCAAATTGGCAGTTCAGTTTCCCGAGGCAGTCCCCAGTCAGGCAAGCGGCCCCATGCCCGTTCACACCATTGAAGGTGCTCGGCCCGCTGCCATCACTGTTGAACGAGCAGTTTGTCCTCCCCTAGATCCGCCCTGCCCAGTCTGCGCTGACAAACATCCTCTTGCTACTACCTGGTGTTAACTTATAACCACCAGCTTCAGGCCCAATGCCGTTCTGGGTTACAATGCCCGGCCATATTGGTTCCCCGCAGCTGTTTACAACCGTTAGTTGGATCGGAGTGCGGTCGCTTAGTGACCCGGCTGTTGTGATGTTCGTCGAGTCCCCCGGGGTTGTCGATTTGGCCGATGTGCCCGCCACGTTGCCAGCGACCTTGTTCTACAAGCTAGTATCATCACCGGCTGTTGTTCTGGCGGTTCTGATACTGGCTGGCCCATTGCTACTCGAGGCGAAGTGAAAAGCGGCGGCTCGCCCAGTGAACAATGATAGTGAGAAGAGAAACCCCTTGGTGAGCCTATCAACCCGATATCGACGAGCCTTGTTCTTGTTCCGGCATGTCGGCTCGGGGTTGCCGTGTAACTCCTCAAGCCAGGTTGAGTGTGGCACGCTGGTTGGGTGCTCGGACATTCCGGAAATTTTTCTTCTGCTGAAATAGCTAATAGCTAGAAGTGCGTCGAAAATGGTACAGAACTGTTCGGGGACGGATGATGTGAGGTTCGACCTTCGATACCCAGGGCCCTAGGAAAGAATAGAGAAAGATATATTAACTACAGAATCATGAAGTTGAGTCAAAGAGTTAGGGGACCGAGAAATAGTGATTGGTGATGGAGGGCAATGAGAATAAACGAAGAATCCATTTTAGAAGTGTTGACATTTAGTCTAGGTATTTCGAGTTCTAGTGCTCCGTTGCCAACGATGGAAGGCTTGAATGCGTTACGGTAACCGGGTAGAGTTGCCATTTTACCTCGTTTCTCCACCGGCGACTCCTGCCAGATTTTCTTAGGGCGATCCAAGCCTGGAAACAACATTCGCTGGTGGTTTGCAGATAATGATGATGCAGGGACGATTGGATCCAGTCCCAAACCATGACCGTTCCTGGTAGGTTGGGATGGGACGAGGGGAAGGCTGCAGGTCCCAGCTTCCTGGACGGGATGGGCAGCAACGTCACCTTCATTTGTCGGACGCTGAAGGACAAAAATGGATGTTGCGGCGATGCTCAGGAACCAAATTGGCGTCAACTGCGTCAACTCAACGAACTAGATCTATCGATGTAACATCTTCAAGAGGCCGTTCGCCTTCCCTATCCCGCGATGGGAGTTGTGTTGCCTGAATCCGCGAGTCCGATACAGGATGGTTTGTGTTGGCCCGTTCCGTTTCCCCCGTTCGTAAAAAATTAACCTCCCCTTTTCCTTCCGTCCATCTCCATCCAAGGTGGCTTCAGGCCGAACAACCGGCAACAGTCCAACCGAACTCGGCATGGCGTTATATGTATGAGCCGCACATTTCCTGCTATGCGAAACACGCCCATTTTACTTCAAGAGGTATCACTGTGGAGATCCGATGCGGTGCGAAATAAAAAGCAGTAACTCCCGTCCGACGCGTCCGCCTGCATCTTTACCTGAACCGCGCCCTGCACCGGCCCATAACCTCGCCCTGGCAGACGAGCTCAGCGCTGAACTCGGAGCCATCCAGCGTGAGGTAAATGTCAAAGTATACACGGTAGAACGTGCCTTGGGGCGTGTCCATCCGCTCAAAGTCCTTCTCGAGGTTCTTGCGCGAGAGGTCTGATGTGAGCGTGACCACTTCCTTGATTCCTGTGGGGACTGTTAGGAACATGATCAACCAGACTGGATGGGCGGAGACTTACTCGGATCCTTGGTGTACTCGGGGCAGACGTCGTCGTCGCAAGCGTACAGAATATCCTCGTACATGAGGGTGGCGCCGGGTGCGACCTGCCGGAAGAAGGAGACCTTGACTGGTTCGCCAATCTTGACTTTTTGCCCCTTTTGGACGAAAATCTGGCGAGTGAACTTGCAACGGTCCTTGCCGTCGAGAGAGGGCACGCGGTACGCCTCGGGGTGGTAGCCCTCCTTAAAGGGTTGCAGGGTGGCCATGAGGTAATGACGACGGGCGACACGGTGCGTGATGACCCTCTCGGTAATACCGGCAGTGACGGCGCCCTTGACAATGGCAGCGACTGAGTCCATGGGGCGTACTACCTTGGACTGGAACTGCGGCGGGACGTGAAGCTTGATTTGCTGGAAAAGGTATTCTGACGCGCCGAAACCGCCGACGACGAGAATGTTTTGGAGGGTTCGGTTTTGTGCCTGGATAGCGATGATCTGGTTTCGGACAAGCTCCAAGATGCGGTTGACGACGGGCTCGAAGCACTGCAAGATCTCCTCGTTTGTGAAGGTCATGTATCCCTCTTCAATCCCAGCCTCGGGAAATTCGGCCTCGATACCGACATCCACAGCCCACTTCTGACCGTTATTCCGGAAGTCGGCCTTGATCCGGTTCTCGAAGTCCATGATGCACTTGGCATACACACGACCAGCGGTCTTGGAGCCGTCGGGCAACTTCATCTTCCGAATCTTGGTCCGCAGGATGTTGCTGAAATTCCGGTTCAGAGCAGTCGAACCGCACGAGTCACCAGAACCGGCCGTGCATTCGGCGACGGTAAAGGGGTTCTCGTCCTCGACTTCGTATGCGATCAAATCGACCGTACCGCCACCGCAATCGACGATGAGCACGGCGTCATGCACCTTCAGGTTTAGGAGACCGGTCTTGGAACAGAAGAGGGCGGCAGCCTCGGGCTCGCTGACCAGCGTCAGGCGGTTGTCGTTCTCGTCACGGAGGAAGCCGGCTTGAATGGCAGCGGCTCTGGTGGCAGCCTTGCCAGCATCGTTCCAAATGGCTGGCACAGTCAGGTAGTATCGGATATTCCTCTCCTCTCGGTTGAAAACCTCGCCCAGCGTCTTCTGGAGAGCCGCCCGCATCGCCTGACGCAGCTTGAAAAGGTAGTCGGCCGCCACATCAATCTCGGACTTTCCTGGTGGGAGAGGCGGGAGGTTGATGGGATCAATGTAAGTGTTGCCCGACAGCATCAGCTGGAGCTTGAACCATTCCACCTTTTGCACGCCCGGCTTCGGGTAGCCAGTCGGGGCGAGGGCATCGGCAATATCGGGACCCCAGCCAACGACTTTCTGGTATTGGTCATAGTAAAGCACGGTCGGGATCTAGGAGGAAGCGCTCCGTTAGCACTGCATGGTTGTGTGCCAGGACGTAGACCACCGCGCCCACTCACCTTTTGCTTTGTGTACGAGCCGGCGCCGGGCCACTCGGTAATAATATCTTCCTTGGCTTCGTTGTTGGTCGCAAACGCAAAGGCAACGCCGGAAAAGGTGGTACCCTAAACGATGGCGGCGGTTAGAATACGATATTCCTTATTGTGCCAACGGCAAACAAAAGGGAGACAATGGTTTTGCTCACAAAATCAATGCCGACAATCAACTGGGCCTTGCTCCGGCTGTTGCCCTCAACCTCGGCGGCGGTGTTGCGGCCGTAAGGAGCGATGGGTCCAGTCTGTTGGGGCGGCGCCGGCGGGGGGTAGCCAGTAGGGCCAGCGTATCCCGGAGGACCGCCAGGGACCGGCGGAGGGCCGCCACCTCCCATAACGGGGGGTGGATACCCGGCGACCGGAGGGGCCCCGGTGTTGATGGGCGGAGGACCTCCAATCATTTGCGACGGTGGGGTACGGGTTGGACCTTGGTTTGCGAGGGGACTGGTGCGGCCGATGGGGCCAGGAGGGCCAGGCGGGTAGTTTGCTGAGTAGCTAGGCGGTCGCGGACCAGCACCTGGATGATTCATTTGGAGGCTCGTCAGAGACGGGTTGGATGCACTCGACGGGACGAGACCCGCGCGCGAGGGGAACAAGGGCGGTATTTGAGGAGGACCCGGGGGCGGGGTCGGGCTCTGCAGCAGACTGGGGTTGGGACTGGCAGTCCCCTGGGGCTGGCTCGGGGCGCTCGATTTCCGTTTGAAACCAAAGCCTTTCAGGCGAGAGTTCAAAGAACTCATAAGGGAAAGGCCAGGTAAAAATTGGGGTATTAAAGGGAGAGCGGTCGGGTCAGGAGGGGGGGTAAGACCGAGGGGGAGGCTGTGGGCGGCGGCAGGCTGGGCAGCCCGAGAAAGAACTGGAGCAGCTGGATTGGGAAGGGAGGGGAAAATTAGCTGTCCTGGCGACTGGGGTAGGACTTCAGGTTGCAGTGGGTGGGTTTGCAGCCCGTCGAAGAGGGGCGGTCGCTGGGTCGGTGTGGGCGCGGCTCGCAGTGCTTGCTCGGGAAACGTGTAGCCGGTCCCATCAAAGGAGCTGTCGAGTCCCCAGCGGGTCTGTGGCTGAGATGGCTTTCCCTGCCTGCACACGGCGGGCCGACCAGAAATTGATGAGCGGCTTGTAAGGCTGAGCCTGTCAGGTCGTTGGCACTGCCAGCGCGGGGGGGCGCGGGGAACCTGGGACTCTTGAAATTACTGTGTAAAAGCAGGCCGATCGAGATGAGTTGATATCAGACTCAACGAAAAGAGCAGAGATGCAAAGCAATTAAAACAAGGACAAAACCACCTGGGGCCAGGAACCATGAAGCCCAACTTGAAGTACAAATTACAAGCTGCTGTACAGCGAAGCAGCTCAGAGCACGTTGTGCCTTCCTCGGGTCAGCGGTCCCCACTTACTTGCTGCAGGACACCCACGGGTTGCAGGACACAGTCCCGCCATACAGTACAATACGTAACATTTTGCTGATAGGTACGGAAAACTCCCAAGTCCAATGCCCAATTGCTGCAGCGGAGGTTTACAGTTTACAAGACCTCCTGGGTAGAATCACACGCCACAGAGGCTAGGGCACGTTTCCATGACCTTCGGCATCGCATCGGGCCTCCAGGTTAGCTTGGCCAAGCTCAATGCGTTTCGTCTGAGAATGTCAAGTCAATGGTTGGCATACTGTGGAGGGACAGACCTTCCATATGCAAACTATCAGGGAGCGGGGCCGACACGGGTCCCTTGTTCAGCTTCGAATTTCAGTGAGATAGGGATTACACTGGAGCCCTCTAAGCAACCTCATTCATCAACGGTGACAATTTGAAGCTTCCCTCTCGAGAAATCTCAATGTTTGTCCCCAGGAGTCCAGCCACGGGCGAGCGAATTCTGTTCCTCGGCCACCGCGATGCGATAGGGCTGGGATTCTAATTACGATTACGGGCCCCTCGACGCCGTTTCGACCTGAATCGCCGGCATTTTCGTGCAGGTGCCTGACCTAAGCCTAAACGGGACGTGCGATGGTAGGACCTTCGTAGGACTTGGGGCGACCTGTGGCTGAGCCTCGAGATGCTGTGCCTGCTTGCCGCGGGGGATGGCCAATCAACCGGCCTCAAAATTCTGCAATCCTCATTGGCAAACGCATTCGACAGGCGGCCCAAAGTTCCTCCTCCTTGTCAGCCGCACCTGTGAACGACCTTTGGTTGCGATGAGCACCCTTCGACTTTCTGCACCCAGATCTCCTTGGCTCATCGCTTATTCAGACCAAAGAGAAACAGAGGCCGTTCCTGTCAGGTCAGCATTTTGTTAAGCTCTGCCTCTCACCAAAAGTGGTGGCCGGGGGTTGTTTGATTACCCGTTTCCGATCCTCACCACTAATGCTGCACTCCACACAACTTCTTGAAGCATGCAAATAATTGTCTCAAGAGGGGTTGCAGCCGCCTCCCAACAACCGCCAAGAACGACGTTACTATCAGTGAGTTGACTGAGCTAAGACGGGCAACCTTCGCATACAAATTGCAATCTTGAAGATCAGTTACATGCATTCCCAATACCTCCCCGAGCTCCCCCATATTGGGCCATGTAGCACTGATCGTCAGAGGTTTGTCGCCGCCTCTCATCGAAGAGCGGAAAGTGATAGGATTGGCCGGCGCGTGGTGGTATTCGGTGTTGCCAGCGGCACAGTCCGTATTAACCGTCGACGCATAGAAGATTCCGTGCTTCGTCGAAGCTGCCGTTGCTTCGAACTATGGGGTTGGTTACACTGTGAAGCGCTGTTGTTACTCTCCGGCAACTTTGCCGCCTCCGTGCAGCGAAGTCAGATGCTCGCCCATGATCAGGGGTTACAGAGAGCTCGGTGTTTCCAGAGTTGCGACGGCTTTCCTCAGCTTGGAACCAACGACATCGTTCTTTTTGGGAAGGTGTCTGCATGGTGATTGCTCGTATGGTTTCCGACACCACTTCATTGCCATTGTACCGCAACGGCAATTGGCGTTGTGGGGTGACCGCTCGACCACCACAGATAAATGCGAATTCGGGAGATTGCGTGTTTCTGTCCGACTGATACAGGAAATAGTAGGTAGAATGGCGGTTAGATGGCACTGTAACTTGACTTTTATCACGACTATGCCGATGAGGCTGGGTAATTGCCCGCTAAACGGAAGAGGGAGTTAAACGAGATGGTCTGTGTTGTTGACCCGGATCATATCTTATTCCACCTAACTAGACGACCAATGTCTGCGACGACCAGAACCTTTCATCCATTCACAACAGTTGTCAAGCTCCAAATATGTCGTTGGTGTCACTCCTGATATTTCCATCATCTCACAATAACGAGAACAAAACCCCAGAGTGAGAGAACATCATGGATGCCTACCAAGAAGCCTATGATGCTGAGGTCTGGTGACCATAGGAACCGAGATTTCCATGGCTTGGTTGATGCTTGTGCTGTACCTCATGATATTGTCTTTCCTTTGTCATCGTGTCCAGTTCTATGCTTGCACTTCTTGTGACGGAATGAGACTTGCCAGTTACCGAGGTACCAAAGCCACCTCTCTTGCGATGGGGCGGCTGGCTTTGGTGGAAAGATCGGGTCATGTGAAAACACTCTGTGGTTTGATGGGTCTAGTCGACGAATATCCCACGCCCTGTTAGCCGGGATTCTGTTAGTTGCAACCTACCTAGCTGAAGCTTGAGACACCATCCCCAGCAACTTCCACACTGTGGGCTGATTCGACTTTTCGGAGTCGCCACATGGTTGTCAATGGCTCGACCTCTTCCCTCCACCGCCATTGCCAATGGGCTCAAAAGATACATCACTTACACCTCTCTTCACCATTTGTTTACCCTCTGACGGGGGTTGGGATCTCGTTGGCTGGGGACTTGCCTCAACCCTTGCACTTAGGTGGTCCCCACATCCATATTTGTCTTAGTTAGGGGCCCGTCAAGCGCCGCTCAAAACATCTTGGATGAACTTCGTGAACGAAACTCGAGTGCTTCGAGTTTGTTGTTTCCCAGCCGCTTTCTTAACTCTTACGTTCCCACTTTGACCAACCAATTAGCCCGCCCCCAAGCGCTCGAAGGGAAAGGTACCCAGAATCACATCGTCTCCTAAGAAACAACGTAGAGTGGCTTGATTTCTTCAAACCTCAACTGTCCGGAAAGCGGCGTCGTTCGAGTTTGCTACCCCGCGTCTCGGCACCAACCACATTCTCGGTATCACATCGGAGGCGGGAGTGTGTGACCTCGGAAGGTCCATCCGCGTGAGAGGAATCAAGCCGGCCTCGTACCCCATGAGAGGCATTCCGAGGGAGACAACACTAACGGACGTGCAGGAAACAAAACCGTGACGGCCGAGCTAGCACCGCCTAATTCGCCGAGTTGCGGGAGCTGCCCGCAGTTCGCGGCTTGGGGTTGGGAGAGTCGTGGGTTCTTACTGAGAGGCAATTTCAGGAAACACCACGCGCTCTGCTGCAGCAGAAGTCGCAACCGGCCAATGACTGAGGCATTTGGGAGACTGGGACCTGAACCGGGCCGTTTTCACTTGGCTCAGAGAGACCTGGCGGGGCCCCCAGCGCAACCCCACGGGTCGAGTTATTGAAGCTAGCCCAACCAGGAAACCCCCCTGGAGCCGACAAAACGTCATCCTCAAGCTTGCCCGGCGCCTCGGCGCGCCCGGCGTTTTTAAAGAACCCACCAGCTGCTGCTCGCCAAAACCCCAATTCGCGCAGCTATCGCGGTTTTACGTCTCTCAGCTTGGCCCATGTGTACTCTGTGGCCTTTCTCATCCTTATTTCGGTAAGTTTAGACGTCGAGATGCCAACAATCTTCGGGTTTCCGGTTTCCGAATCCGAAGAAACAAAGGCACGCCGCCGCCGCCAGCCTGGAACCTCTGCCCTGTGCCCCGCATCAGCTTGGCCGTGCCTCCGCCAGAACTGCCCCTCCATCCCCCACCAACAAAAACAGTTTGATCCCTCGCAGCATCCCAATGCCTCCTGCGCTAGCCTCCTGCATAACATCCAATTGCCTTCATTTGAAATTCATCTTTTGCTGCAGCTGACATAAAATAATTCTAGACCCTTTTGCATCACATCACGCGCTGCTTTACCTCGCCCGTAGTAAATACTAGCCCCCGTTCGCTCCTCAGGGCGACCCAGTCTCTCCCAGCAGCAGCACTCGACCACGAATTGGGAACTTGCGAACACCCACCTCCATTTCCCACCCCGGCGCCTTTCTCCAAACCTCTCACCATGGCCCTCGAAGCCGAGACACAGTCGATTGTCGAGCAATTCGAGTACTCGGACAGCGATGTCAACAAGGCAGTCCAGGAATTCCTCCGTCAGATGGGTATGTGCTCGGATGAGGACTCTTTCTACAATTGGCCCGTAAATCCTCACTAACATGCTATAAAGACGAGGGTCTGGCGAAGGATGGGACCAGCATGAGCCAGATTCCGACATATGTCACGGGCGTACCCAATGGCACCGAAAAGGTTGGTTGAACGATCCGGAGCTCCTCCAGCATCGAAGCGCGCATAATGCTAACACTTGCCACTTCAGGGTCTCTACATGGCGGTTGACCTCGGCGGCACGAACTTTCGTGTTTGTTCCATCCAGCTCCTCGGGAATAGCACTTTTACCCACACCTACAACAAAGTTGCTATCCCCAAACACCTCATGGTGGCCAAGACGGCGCAGGAGTTGTTCGCCTTCTTGGCATCGGAGATCAAGAAGTTCCTTGAGGAGCACCATACCGAGGACTTTGAGCACCACGTCCGGCGCCGGAAGACAGTCAGCTCTCCAAACGGTTTCAGGGATGAGCACATCTTCCGCATGGGCTTCACCTTCAGCTTCCCTGTCAAGCAGTTCGGAATCAATAAGGGCACCCTCATAAGATGGACGAAGGGTTTCGACATCCCGGACGCTGTTGGCAAGGATGTGTGTGCCCTCTTGCAAGAGGAGATCGACAAGCTTCACCTGCCTGTCAAGGTGGCCGCCCTTGTGAACGACACCGTCGGGACGCTCATGGCGCGTTCGTATGCCGCCCCGGGTAAACAAGGCTCGGTGTTGGGTGCCATCTTTGGCACCGGCACCAACGGCGCCTATGTCGAGAAGCTGTCGAAGCTGAAGAAGCCCCTGGGTGGGGAGTATGACCAATCGACCGGCGAGATGGTGATCAATACGGAATGGGGTTCGTTTGACAACCAGCTGAACGTCTTGCCCAGCACGAAATGGGATATTGCTCTGGAAAAAGAGAGTCTGAACCCCGGCTTCCAGATGTACGAGAAGCGTGTCTCTGGCATGTTCCTGGGCGAGATCCTGCGCCTGGCCATCATTGACCTGCTCAACAACCCCAATGTTTCCTTCTTCAAAGATGAGAACTCTAGCTCCAACGACAGAGGTTCTGTGACTATCATCTCCAAGGACTCGGGTCTGTACAAGCAATGGGGTCTCGACACCGCTATCATGTCGACTGCGGAACTCGATCAAGACCCCGAGTTGTCTGGTCTCCGCCAGGCGCTCGAAAACACCTTGGAGGTCTATGCCCCTGCGTACGAGGATGCCCTCGCCTTCAAGAAAATTGCGCAAGCCATCGGCCGCCGCGCGGCTCGTCTCTCTGCTGTTGCCATTGGTGCCATTATTCTGCAGACCGGCAAACTGGAGGACCCGGAGTACAAGGATGAGCCCATCGATGTTGGTGTCGACGGCAGCCTGGTCGAACACTACCCCGGCTTCCGGCCCATGATCTACGAGGCGTTGAGCGCCATCGATGGGATTGGAGAGGAGGGCGCCAAGCGCATCCGCATCGGCTTGACCCAAGATGGGTCTGGCGTCGGCGCCGCCCTGATTGCGCTTGTGGCTGCCGGCATGGAGAAGAACACCAGCGGCGCCGATTACCTCGGCGAGCTGCGCTCGAACGCTAAGGCCGGCGTGCCTGCTACGGTGGATGAGAAGAGCACGTCCGATTAGGGGTCCGGACCGTGGCCTGTCTCGTCCACCCCTCTGGAGAAACAGGTGGCGGACAGGTGCTGCGACATCATGTGAGGGGAGAGAACTCGACGGCGCGGCGGAGGCGGGGGTTTCCTTTCCGGATGGCGGCTGAGCAGTTACCAATTCCTGTTGGAACAGCTCCTGCCTGCCTGCTAGAGGGTAAGGCGGCACGTGTATGATCATATATTTTGGGCTGGTTGGGCTTGGGCAACTGAGCAGGAGGACCGGGGCTTGCTTTTTTACATTGTGGCTTATCTATCGCTTGGTGGGTTTTCGGTCGAATCTCTGATGGTTCCTATCTATCACGAGTGGCTTCCTACCTCCCCAGGAGCCAGCGGACGGGGAAGAGACAAAGTAGTGCGTAGTTAGCGTTGATTATTATTATGCCGCAGCTCCCAGGCTCGCGACGCACAAGGCAAAATAGCTCGCTAGTTAGCTAGCAGCAAACAGGTCTAGGAGTTCAGCGAACTGAGTTGGCGTTTCGGGAAAGGCCTTTCTGTGTTGATTGGGACATGTGACGCCGCTCTGATATGACATCTCCACTTACCGTCTATACTACAGACTACTACAGACTATTTTATCACCTATGCCAACTGCCCTCGGGACGATCCTGTTCGCCGATTTCCCAAAACACCCATAATACCAACAACAACAATACACACACTAGCCTACAACCCCTCGTCACGCCCCAAACGCAGCCGTGGGATACGTCCGATCCCGCTTCTTCCTCCCCGTTGAACTACTCCGCGAACTCGCCCCCGACACCGGCGTCCCCGCCCCGGCCCCAGCCCTGCCACCGCTGCCATTCGCAGCAGCAGCAGCAGCGTCGGGGCTCAGAAGCCGTGGGCTATTCGTGTTGTTGCTGCCGCTGCCCACCTTTCCTGTGCTCACCATGTCGGCGGGGAGGTCGTTCCACTCCGATTCGGGGCGGGCGTTCTGGAAGGAGAGGGAGGTGGAGGACGCGTTGGCCGAGGGCGGTGCGGACGGGCGCCGTGGGGGGCCGCCGCCGCCGCTTGTTCCGGGGGTTGGGGCGCGCGGTGGTGGTGGTGGTGGTGGTGGTGGTTTGGGTGCTAGTAGGGGTAGGTTGACTGCTGCGGCGAGGACGGATTCGCTGGATGATGTGCTGGTCGTGGGTGGTAATGCTGGTGCTGTTGTAGTTGTTGTTGTTGCGGTTGTTGTAAGGTTGGCGGCTGCGGCGGCGGCGGTGGGCCCGATGTGCCGGCGCACCACCCACGCCGTGCCCGGCCGCAGCTTGAAGTAGTACTCCTTCATGGGCTCGGCGCCCTCGCGGGCAAAGCCCCGCGCCTCGTACCACTTGAGCCCTTCCTCATTCTCGGTCCAGACGTGCGCGTAGATGGTCCGCGCGTCGATGCTGCTGCCGGCGGCGGGGAGGATGGTCGCGCTGGCGATGATGTGCTCGAGTGCGGCGGCGGCCAGGCCCAGCGAGCGGTAAGGCGAGAGCAGGGCGAGGGATTGGATGTAGATGGCGTGGTACGGCGTGTTCAGTGGCACGTTGGACGGCTTCTGCAAGTGCGAGGGCGGGAATGGGTGGGGTATTAGCTGCCCTTGGGTGTCGAGAAAGGGGTTCGGTTCGAGGCGGCAGATGAGGCCACCGATGACTTTGGGGGTGTCGGCGTCCGAGTCTTGCCAAAGGATGGCGCGGGAGAAGAGCCCGGACGCGAGGGGATCGAGAACTTTGGCGTAAAACGAGTCTGGGTAGGGGACCGGTAGGAGGAGGGAGTTGATGCGCCGGAGGGCGGGCACGTGTTCTTGGACGAGCGGCACGATGGTTGCGCCAGAGGGGAGGGACGGCGGGGATGGGAGGATTGGAATGCCGCTCGGGGGGAGTGTGATGGGTATTTTCACTGGCTCCGTCGAGGTTGCGTTCAGATGATCGGCAGACGGAGATACTGGCGGTTTCGATGTCGACTGTGTCGCTACATTGCCGTTTTCTAGCGGGGCAGTCGATGGCGGGGCAGCATATTCAGGCTGTCGCCGGGGTTGGAAGAACGAGCGGATCGAGGATTGCTGGATACGGGACATGTTTTAGAGGTTTGTAGGGTCAGTTCGCTTTTCATGACCAGGCCGCGCGGAATCGGAAGCGGTGGTGAACCAGTAAAGTCTAAATTCTTCCCGATGGCGAAGTCTCCTGTTTTGTTTGTTGCTGCCCCCTGGAGACCCCTGTTTAGCTCCTAGGGGCTGAATGGAAGCGGACCTGAGGCTCAGCTCGGGCGGCACTCAACCTCCTGCCGCCCCACCACGGGCATCTCCGCCATCGACAAATGGAGAGAAACGGGAAGCAAGGCGAGATTCAGATCCGGAGACGGGCTCTTGAAATGGGTGAGCATCACTCGGAAAACTGTTATGTATTCCCTTTAACCCCTGTTTTTGAGGTAGTCTAGGAAAAACAATTTATGAAACTTAATGTCGAAACTCGCAAATGATATTTGCTCCAGGTGGAAGAGAGTTGAACGATGACATACCTAGGTGGTCAATTTACAGAAAAATGTAGCCGCAAACTTTACCGTACTGGGTGACGTGACGTGAATTATTACCCCAGCTTCCATGCCTGCCACCGCCTTTTTTTCCAGTCTTGGCAGAATTGGGGCAGGGAGATCATCGTTCTGACCATCCTCAGGAAACGTGCATTGTAGTTTCTATTGTCGCCTCAACAAATAGTATAAAAAAATACCTAAAAATTCATTCCTGGGCGCCAATTTCTTCACGTAAATAGTATGCTCCTTTTTGAATACATTTGCAAGCCCAGAGCCGTGGGAATTTTCGGTAAAGTGACCTGCGTGCCGTGCGCAAGTGAGAGTTTTGGGTTCCCACTGCCCGGGCGACCCAGCGCCCAAGCACCCTATAACAAAACGGCCGCTGGTGGGCTGAGACAGCTTTTCCCTCTCCGTCAATCATTCATTTGCCCACGACCAGACTTCCGCTCAAACTACCGCGAAGACAATCAGCAACCATCAAATAACTTTGCGGCCGGAACCTACGACTTCGTTTCTTGGGTATCGCAGGTTTCACAATTGAACCTTGCCTTCTTTTCCCTATTTTCTGTCGCGCCATTGCACTGGTGCTCGTCGGGCTGAGCCTGTCGCACCTCAACCGAGCATTGGGAGAGGCTGAACCTTTTCGCCGCTCCCGATTACCAAGACCCAAAAATTCCGGCCCGGCTCAATCAATCTAGCTGCTGATTGATGCTGCCTGCCGCTTGAAGACAGCCACAACACAACACCCTCACGAAAGACACTTTCAATTCATTTCGCCACCTTAACACATTCACCATGGTCCTCGGAAACCGGGGAAACAGGCAAAGCCGGCATCATTGTCGCTCCGGACGATGCGCCTCCTCTAGACAAGCTTGTAAGTCGGGGGGAGTCGACCTGGCACTCCACTCTACTGACCCGATCCCCCTTGTAGTCGCATGCTATCCTCGATGATCTATTATACAACATCGTCCATGACCTCCTGGTCAAGGTCCACCGCGACGAGAAAATTGCGCGAGCCAATACAGCCGCCATCAAGGTCGAGAAGCTTGCCAAGAATTCCTCGGATGGCGCAACAACAGAACCCAAACCCGATATTGAGATCGAGACAGATGCAGCGATATACAAGGACGGCAGGGTGGCTTTGAAGGGCAACCCGCTGAAGTCGACCAAGGAGGTCTTATGCTCGAAGTGCCACCTCCCACGGCTGCATCACCCGACGGACGGCAAAGGCGCGAAGAAGCCTGACCCGGGCGTCATCTACTGCAAAAGACACCCATACATCGACAAGCCGGGCTACGACATTTATGGCCAGACGTGGGTTGCCCCTGGCCCGGGGCGGGGCAAGAAGAAGAAGGACCAGAAGTTGGACCCCAACGACCCGAGCTCCCCGGCGCCGGCTGAAGGGGGCGCAAAGGACCGGGCGTCGAATGTTCTCAACTTCCCCAGCGCGACATGTCCCAAATGCAAGCGGTGTATCCTGGTGACGCGTCTGAACAACCATATGGGTTCGTGCATTGGAAACAGCGGGCGGAACGCCAGTAGAGCGGCGGCGCAGAAAATTAGCAACGGCAACAACGGCGGCAGTCAGAACAATGACAACACGCCGCCCGGCAGCCAGAAGGGCACACCGCGTCCCGGGAGCCGCGGGGGTAGTCCCAGGAAGCGCGACGTCGACGAATTTGACGAGGACGCAGAGGAGTCCGATCAACCCAACCCAAAGAAGAAAAAGGCCAAGCTGAACGGACTAAACAAGAAGGTGGTTCTGAAGGCCAAGGCTCCCAGCGCCACCGGCAATTCCAAGAAGGACAAGGTTAAGGGCAGCTCGAGCCTCAATGTGGAGCAGAAGGTGGGTAGCGATGCCAAAGACTCGACAGTACAAGTGGCGCCAAAGAAGCAGACCCCCAAGCTAAAGGGTATCTCGCCTGCCAAGAAGCTCAAGCTCGGTCCGGCAAAGCCACCGTTACCTTCGCCCGGCAGCAAAAAGGGCAAACGGGACCACGATATGGAGAGCGAGTCGTCCGAAACTATGTCATCCCCCCCGCCGCGTTAATCCCATCAGTCACATGATGTCTTGTTGTCTGCGACCGGCATCACATTGTTTACCATCTTGGAGTTGCATCTTCTTCTTACACACATTGCATTGGCCACGGTTCGGATAACTCTTGCATTGCCCACGGTGGGCAGGTCCAGGTTTGGGGCGTTCTCTGCTGCATTTGGTTTCATCGGCTCCGAGCATTCACGGCGACATGGTTCTGGGGTTTTATCATGATGGAAAGAGCCTTGGCGGTTCGCGCGTAGGCAGCGGGGGCTGGAAACAGAGAGGCGTTAGGTGGCGGTTTGGTTGTATACGCGGGAGGGATGATTTGGCAGACCGTTTGGGTCGGCCTGCTTGGTGCCTAGGGTTTGCACTTGCGGCGCCGTGATTTTCTACTCTCTGGATGGGGAGGCTTTTTTTATTTCAGAGATGCCGTGTCTGCTCTACGGCGCAGGGCGGACAACTTCTGTATATCACAATCCCCGTGAGATGCGCAGGCGAAGCAAATACACATGATTTATGGCTTGCCTCTTATGACTCTGTGATCGACGAGGTATCATTTCCCACCCTCCCATCATAACCGATCCATCCAACGGACAACAAGCAGGCCACACTATAGGAAAGTGAAAAGAGCCTCCCAGCCTAGGTAGAATCCCCCCACCACCCCAACCCAACCACAACCCCCATACTTTCTCTCTCCATCTACACTACAACCTCCCCTCCCCCCCCCACCCCCTCCCCCTCCCCAGCGGCAACCACGAACGCGCGCACGATGCGCACCCCCTCGCCCTTGGGCCGGTCCTCGCCGTCCGTCGGCACCAGGCCCATGCGTTGCACCACGCGGATGCCCTTCTTGACGCGCCCAAAGATGGTGTGCTTGCCGTCGAGCCAGGGCGCCGGGGCCAGCGTGATGAAGAACTGGCTGCCGTTGGTGTGCGGGCCCGCGTTGGCCATGCTGAGGATGCCGGCGCCGGTGTCTGTGGTGTGTGTGTTCTTGTGTTAGTGGGGGGTTGGGGTTTTGTTTGTTTTTGGGGGGTGGGGTGCGGGTATGGTAGAGAGATTGGGGGATTGGGAGGTTTGGGAAGAGAGGGGAGAGAGGGGAGAGAGGGGAGCGCTACGTACGCTTCAGGTCGTCGCGGATCTCGTCCTCGAACTTTTCGCCGTAGATGCTGCTCCCGCCGCGTCCTGTTCCCGTCGGGTCTCCGCCCTGAATCATAAAGTCCTTGATTATGCGGTGGAAGATGGTATCGTTGTAGTAGCCGCGCGTTGCGAGGGTGGAGAAGTTTTGGCAGGTCTTGGGCGCGTGCTCGTTGTACAGCTCCATGATGATCGTGCCCTGTCGGTTTGTTAATTGATGGATACGGCAGGGACAGTAATAGTGACTCACCATGGTGGTTTCGAGGGCTACGTCCGTCGCCATTTTGGTGTTGTATTAGAAGTGAGAAGAGAGTGATCGATGTGAGTTTGAGGACCGCAGAGGTTGAGATGGCTTCGGCAGGTCAGTCTCCCGGCAAGGCACAAGAACGTTGTATTCTTCTAAATTGGTTAAGGTCTGTCGCTCTTACTTTCGCAGTGATATAAAAAAAAGGGTTGTTGGTGATGGAGTGTCCTGAGATACGCTCACTGAAAGGTGCCGTTGTGAGATGCGTGATGAGTTGGGGTGGTATCCTAACAAGTCTGAGAATTACGGTAAAATACGACATCGTGTAACATCAATTACACAATTACAACCTATACCATCAACAACACCGCCTTTCCTCATTCACAAATACCAAACTCCTCAATCTTCTAGAAATCTACCACTCCTCCATAATAGCCCACAGTGTAGGTTTGATAAATTCGGCTCTGTCAGATTGGTACGGCACGTTGTACGTTTCGGGAGCCAGGTCGACAGGCCTCTTCCCCTTCAAGTCTCGTCTGAACACATTTGCTCCCTGTTCCAGGAGGAACTCGGTGGCGTCGAAGTTGCCCACTCAGCGGCCTAGTGCAGCGACGCCTTGCTCTTTTCATCACGTTTGTTAGTTTAGCGGTGGAATCACTGCGTCGAGAGTGCCCTCTAGGTAGAAGTCCATGTGTACGAGGCCACTCAACCGGGCCAGATTTTGTTGGGGAGGGACGCTTCGGGCCGCACATGGCCGATGTTGAATTCCGCGCGCTTGACGTTTACCTTCCATTTTGTAGGATATTCGAGGTGTATAAAATCAGGACACGGGTAGCGAACTCAAGTGCGCTGGAACACTGTCATGATGAACACTGAAGTGGCAAGTTTTGTGCAGTGGTAGCAACCACCCAAGAGGATGAGTGAGTAAGCCATCCATGACTGTTAGATTCTCTACGAACCTGATCCGTAATCCCCTCGAGTTCACAATATTGTCATAGTTGTTCACCATTCCCGACCACCCCACCAAACACCCCAATCCCCATACTTACAACGCAACCGCCGCCCCTATGGCACCGAGCAGCGCCCCGGCGCCCATAATAGCCGGCGTAGCCATTGCAGCGGCAGCACCCGTACTGGTGGACGACGAGTCATTCAGCCCAGCCGATCCAGAAGTTGAGGCAGGCGCTGACGCCGACGCTGAGGTTTCGGAACCCTCAGCCGGAGTGGCAGCGGCCCCAGAGGTAGACGACGCCATTCCGTTTCTAGTCGCCGGCGTGGTGGTGGCTGAGTTGGAAGCCGCCGTGGCCGAGTAGCTGGAGCATTGGGCAGCGCCCGCGCTCTGGGCTTGAATCAGCTGCGTGCCCGTGCAGCTGGACAGCAGGCACGGGGCGGCACTGGCGGCAATAAAAGATTGGGTCGGACCGCACTGGCAACCGAGATCGCTGGCGCCGCAGCCTGCCGCGCTGATAGCGCTGATGATACAGGCGGTCTGGGAACGGTTAGTGGGGGTGGGCTCTCGCAGGCAGGACGGGGACGTACGGCGCAGTCCGGTTGACCTGAGAGGTTCTGGGCGAGGGCGATGCCAGTGGCCGCGAGAAGGAGGAGGATGGCCTTCATGGTGTCCGGATTTGACGTTGGAATTTAGATTGAGATCGGAGCCGAAGATGTGGTCAGACGTCAAACGATTCAAACTGTGCCCGAAACGAACGTTGCTGTGTGGTAAGATGGGGAGAATTTGTTCGAGCTGGACGACAACTTAACGAACATTTATGGCCCATGGAACCACAGACGGCGGGAGAAAGAGCCGGTCGGCCAGGCACAGCCGTTGTTGTCGTACCTGCTTCGTCATCTTGGAAAGCCACACTCACACCACTATAGTCCTGATTCGCCGGGAAGGGACGGTGTGTCAAGGGAACCTCGAGTTGGGTGTGAGAGGCAGGAACTCCCGTCGTTCCCCAAGCCACCCCGCGGGAAGGATCGACTGCAACACGGAACACGGGAAGATTGAGACACGGGACCTACTGTCTACCAGGTAGATTACCCACTCGGGTTTCATCCCTTCCATTCCCAGGAACAGACTTTGTCACTCCTGGCAAGCACCATACAATAGTGTGTGTAGACATGCGTGCCTGCCGCGGGAAGCGTGTCCCGGGAAAGACCTCCCCCTCATTGCCAATGCAGGCCGCAGCCAATATTGGATGGGAAAGTGCCAATAGGTGTGTGATACAGCCTCAAATCGTCCAAGCCCCCTCTCGGCACCCGGCTTGGTTCTTTTTTGTGACCGGTGAGAACCTTGACTTTCCCATGATCGACTCATGGATTTTGAAACTGGTTGAGCAATTAACACGACTCGAAGCCTGCCATCGATGCTCCAGAGTCTTGAAGCCGAGGACCCACTTAGGGAAGACCTCCCAAGGACCTCGACGCCCTCCGTCTTTGGCATTGAATGGCAAAGCAGCAAAACAAAAGGTGCATGCGAATTTCTGTCTTTGTCTGTCAGAAGAGGCCGTGGAGACAGCGGCTGGGTAAAAAAAGCAAAAATACGTGATTTTTCTCCTCCGGGAAGGCTCGAACTTCCAACCTCCTGATTAACAGTCAGACGCGCTAGCCAATTGCGCCACAGAGGATGCCAATCACTGATTGTTGAATTCCGAAAAGGATTTAGTATTGATATTGGGAAGAAACCGCCGGTCAACTCAAACAGGAGTGACCGTGCCCGCTGCGCGCGGGCACGCCAAAGGAGCCTGGAGGAACTTGCCGGCTGCAGATAGGACCCATAGCGGAGTCAACGATGTAATTGTTAAAGGCGGAAGAAGAAGCCACCTTGACTGCAATGGAATTATAAAAAGTATCAGGAGATGATTGTAGTTTAGGTCAGAAAATCGGGATGGAAAGAACGTATCGAGTTCCTTGGATTGGGAAAATGGAGCACCGCGGTGTAAAAAAGGCGGCCTCTAGCACCGGTTTGACCTCATCGCCGATGTATGACGCCGCATTCTTGAGTCTCCAGTAAGCTATATCGTCATCTAGGGGCTTCAGTAATCAGATCCCGTAAAGATTAACCTCTGTGGCGTAATCTCACAGAGCTGATAGGTTCCGTGTATTTTGTGCGTCAAAGAAGCAATTTGCTTCGCTACCCTTCGTCACGTAGACGACCATCGAGCCGTAGGTCTTGCTTGTATCCTTCCTGCTGAGCCAGGCAATCTTGGCAATGTTGACGTTGTTCTCTGTAGTCGTGGTTCCAGGAATGGGACGTCATGGCCGAATCAGCGCAGATTGAAGCTGCTGACGAAGAAGCGGGTGCGTCGCTCTAGTAGTATAGTCAACCCACAATAGATGTTGACCCTGCAAACCTCATCTTTCGCCACTTTTTGACAGAAATCCGATTTTTTTGTTCGTGTTCGTGATTGTCAATGAATGCGCGACGGAGGCATGCAAAAACAGGAGCGAAGCAGCGAGTCACAGGGGCCCTGATGCCAAGTGCGGGTTAGCGGCATTTCTCCGGCGATCCGATTGGCCAGGTGTCAAAGCAACCACGGTCCGTGCACCTCCACCGCCAAGACCAACTGCGAGATGCTGATTCGAGGAAGCAGAATGCAGATGACGCCAGACTTCGAGATGCTATCGAGAGAAGTCGAAAAGGAGAAAAAAGCCAAAATTCTACAATGAGAAGTCGACAGTACAGGTTAGAAATGACACCGTTTTTTGGGTTTTTTTTTTTATGGAGAAAAAACTGGTCCGTGCTTAGAGCAGGCCATGGCATTTTTGACCTAAGGGACCTGGAGTTCCTCCAGGCAAAGAGACGAAGAGCATGTTGTTGTTGTTGGTGTTACACAACGATGAGTAAACAAATGGAACGGATATTGCCCCTTCTTGGTGGATCCGAGGATTGCATCGAGCGGAAGAACACATGGAGGATGACGGCGTCAACCTCCCTAGTGCTCTCTCGACACCAAAAAGTTGCAAGCCTCGTAGTATTCATACACTACTAGTAGTAGAAGAACCTTCTCTACTGCGTAGGTAAGAGCAAGACAGGAAACATAAGAGGCGTTACATAAAATAACAAGCACCCTCATAAAGAAGCCAACGTTGCTGGCTCTTACCGCCCCTCCCTTCAAACCAAACAGGTATGCCCATAAATCCCCCATTACCGATATGCAGAACACGCTAAACCAGCTGGCAACCCCCTCCCCCACCCAAGCTATCCCAAAAATACAACCGCTCTTTTACAAGAACCCCTTCGTCATGGAAGGCACCCTACTAATGCTGCTCTTCCGTTGAGGGACCTTGACCGGCTCCTCCGTGGCCCAACCAACATGCCTGCTGCGCATGCTCCCGCCAAACACACTCCCCGCGGCGCTCATCCCAGAACCCCCAGTGACCCCCTTCTCCATCCTCATCTTCCACCCCTCAATTTCACGCTCCAGCTTGAGCGCCCTCTCCTTCTCCTCGCGCAGCTCCCGCTCCGCTCGCCGGGCCGCCAGCTCGTTGTTGCTCTCCGATGCTTGCAGCTCCTCGATGGTCTTGAGAAGCTTGTCCATCTTGTCGCGCATGCGGCCCATGTCCTCGTTGAGTTGCCCGTTTTGCTTGTCCTTGCGCTCGATCTGCGACTGCAGGTCCTTGACGGTGCGGTCGACGTTGCGCACCGAGCGCTGGGACTTGCTACGTTCGTTTTCATGGTCTTCGAGCTGGGACTCGAGCTGCGGTCTGTTAGTGCGTGGTACGATGGAAATAGGTGAGGGAATGGGCTAACCTCTTGGATGCGCTTATGCAGGAACTTGATATCATGGCTCGCCGTCGAGTAACCCTTAGTCTCGAGGTCGATAAGCTTGAGTTGCACCTCGTTAAGCGATTTCTCCAAGGCCGCCTTCTGCTTTTGTAGCTCGGCGCTGGCCTCTCTCTCGCCGACGATGTCCTTTTGGATCTCCGACACCAACGATTCAGCGCGACGCATCTTCTCCACTGCTGCGGCGGCGATATCCTCTTGCTGTGCGAGGCCGGCCTTGAGCTCGAGGATCTCCTTGTCGCTGTTGGCGGCGTTACGAAGCGAGGGGCTCTCGCTCTTGGCAAGCTCCTCGAGACCAGCCTTGGCCTCCTCCAACCTAGCCTCGATACTCCGCTTTTCGCGAAGCAGGCCGTCGCGTTCGGCGGTGATCTCATCCACCGACGACCGAAGGGAGCGGACCTGTGACAAGAGGGATACGATCTTGCCCTGGGCCTCGTTATGAGCGGTGACCGCCTCGTCCCGAGAAGCTACCACATCCGAGAGTGTGGTTTGTAAGCGGGCCTTCTCCTTGGACCACGTTGAGCTATTGAGCACCTCATCATCCCACTTGGACCGGAGGTCATCGAGCTCCTCGCGCAATCTTGCGATCTCGGCCTGTTTGAAGAGCTTCTCTTCGCGTGCAAGATCCAGCTCTTTTGTGAGGGTCGCAAACTCGGCCTGGTACTTCTTGCGCAGCTGCTCCATGCTCGATTCCTTGTCCTCGACGTCGTTGGCTCGCTGGTTGCGGTAATCCTCGAGCTCGTGTTGCAGCCTCTTCTTCGCCTGCGTAGCCGACTCCAAGTCTGTCGACATGTCCTCAATCTTCTCTTCGAGTCTCTGAGTCTGGAGTTGGAGATCTTCAATGGTGGTATCCAGGCGGTTTCTCTCTGCCATCATCTCTGCGCAGCTGTCTTCAGCCTCCCTGGCCTGCGCCTTGGCAAATTGCTCTGCGCGGTTTGCCTTAAGCACGGCAATTTCGGCCTGTTCCAGCTTGTTGAAGTACTCGTCCGCACGGCTCTTGTAAAGGTTCAGACTCGCAGTCACATCAGTCAGCTTGGAAGTCTCGGCGTCCATGCGGATTTGGAGGTCAGCAAACTCCTGCAGCAGTTGAACCCGACTAGCGGCCTCTTGATCTCTGGCAAGTGAGACCTCCTGAAGGTCCGACCTTGTATCGCGGAAATCCACCTCGAGCTTCGCTCGGTCATGCCTCAACCTCTCCACGTGCCCCTTCATGTCGGTCAACTCCGCAATGGCATCGTTATGGCTATGCAGAATCGCTCGGCGGGAATCTTCTTGACTATGCAGCAGGTCAAGGATCTCTTCATGAGATTTGGTCTGGATGTCTCGAAGTGAGAGTTCACCAGTGTGGAGGGCTTTTTCCAAAGCAGACACCTGCTTCGAAGATTGGTCCAGCATGTCATGCAGGCGGCCGTTCGCTTGCTCCAGTTTCCGCATCCGGCCGCTCTCGTCGGCTTGGATTCCTGAAGATGGCTCCACGCGGTCCAGTTGGTTTTGGAGGTGTCGGTTCTGCATCTGCGCAAGCTGCAGCTGATTCTGCAGTTCCTCGACATCGGCTTTGAGATCCATGCGATTGTTGAAGCTCAGAATATCAGCCGTCTTGTCCGAACGAACCGAATCAAGGTGGTCGGTGTCGGGAATTGCGAACCGACGTGGTGGTGTTGATGTATTCGAGTAATGCCGCCCGTTAGGCTTGGACCGCGTCTGCGTCGGTGACATGTTGAAGGCACCCTCGTCGATGTTGACGTCGCCAAGGCCGCGTCTGGTGGGAGACTCGTTCCTCGCCGCCCTCAGATCCGCCAGTTGCTCCTCAGCGTTGACACGGGCGGCCGTCTGGACGCGCAAGTCCTGCTGCAGGTCTTCGATTTTTCGGACCAAGTCAAAGTTCTTACTGATGAACTTATCAGGGCTATCGTCTGCCTGGACAACAGGAACTGACTGGGGATCAACCGTTCTGAGTGCGTTAAGCAACTGAGTCCGCAGCTCTGCAAGCTCTGCGTCCCGAGCATCCAACGCGATCTGCATCGTGCGCACGGTGCCTTGCGCCTGTGTTCGAAGCTGCTTCTCTGACTCGATTGTGCGGTTGGCCTCAGCCAGCTGAACCGTGAAATTAGACGAAGCCTTCTCAGCATTGCGGCTGCTCTGCACCTCCCTCGCGACTTCGTGGTTGAGATCCTCCAGGCTCAGTTGCAGCTTCTCCAACCGCTTTTCTAGTGAGGCGATGGTGACGTGAGAATCGCCGAGCTGTTTGTTAAGTTTCGCGTTCTGCTCCTCTAACCTCGCCTTCTCACGCTGGAGAGAAAGAACCTGCCCACGAGAGGCCTCGCTCGCGCGCGACGATGACCGGGCAATTTCGAGACCTTTTTGTTGTAATTTGTTGAGAAGCGCACGGTTATCGTTTTCGGAGGCAGCGAGCCGACTCTTCACGGTATGAAGCTCGCGCTCCATCCGCTCTTTTGCCTGGTCGTTCTTCAGCCCGAATTCGCCAGACTCAAGGATCAACTTGTTCAAATCTTCAATTTGGCGGTTGAGGTTGGCACACTCGGCGTCAAACCATTTGAGCCGCTCATGAGCGGCCTCAAGATCCTTGTGAAGACTTTCCTCGCGTTCCCGTGCGACCTTGAAGGCGGCTCGCTCTCCGATGATCTCAGCTTCGCGGCGAGCTTCCTCGGCTTGAGTTTTGGCAACACGGAGCCGCCGGATTTCTTCGCGAGCCTCATCCCGTTCCTCCTCTGCGGTAGTTCGAGCTTCCATTGTTCGACGGAGAGTATCTTGTTGGGCGTAGAGCTCCTTTTCGATGGTGATTTTTGACTCGTTGAGATGGTCGTACTCATCCTTCAAGCTTTGGTACTTGTGTTCGCCGAGCAGCTGGACATCATCCCGCGACTGGCGCTCCCTGCTGAATTCCATCTGTGTGTTGTACAGTTCTTCTTTGAGATCCTTGATCTGAGCCTCGAGAATTTGCCGATTCTCGTCGGCCTGAGCATCTTCCGAGAGTCTAGCCTCCAGGAGTCTCTTTGCATCCTCGGCCTCCCGCTCGATTTGGGATTGCTGGGACTTCAGAGCAGTTAGCTGGGCTTGAACCTCATGAAGCCGCTCAGCAGCTTTTTCTCTTTCTGCGCTGAGGTTCTTCATCTGGTCCTCGAAGTTGCGCCTCTCCGTCTCAAACTTCCTATTATCAGAGCGGAGCAAAGCCAGCTCGCTTTCCTTCTTTCTCACTAGGTCCTCGTAGTCGGTTGAAGTCTTCGACAACTGAGTCAGCTGCTGCTGGACCTCGCGATTTTCGGCAATCAGTTGTGAGTTTTTGGTCTTGGAGGACTGGAGTTCCTTTTGGGCGGTCATCAACTTGACTTCGAGATCTTGGTCAATTTTGAGCAGCTTGTCTTCCAAGTCGCGAGCCTTGCGGTCTTTGAGCTGTAGCTGGCTTTGCAGCATCTTGATCTCTCCTTCCAGTGCCGCCTCTTGTTCGCTGCGTTCAGCCTGGGCCTTGGTGATGTCCTCGATGGCGCGCTCAAGGTCCTCAACACGCCCAGCGAGTTCGGATTTCTCTTGCTCCAACCTTGCGATGATGCCGGCTGCTTGCTCAAGCTGGGCGCGATACCGTTCCACGTCGTCCTCGGCACGTTTCTTGGCCTCAAGAAGACTATCCAACTGGTCCTCAAGCTTTTCTTGGTCCTCCAGGGCGCCGGCCAGCTTATCTTCCAGTTCTACCTCGCGGAGTTGCAGCCGTTTAAAGATCTCTTCCTTGTCCAGTGCTAGGGCACGTTCGCTCTCGAGTGTTTGCTGGATCCGAAGCATCTCGGCATGGACGTTCCGACGTTCGTCTTCGAGTTTCTGTCGATTATCGTGTTCCAGGAGCATCTGCTCATTCAGCTGCCGGATCATTTCGTCTCTCTTCTTGACCTCGGCTGCGGTCCTTGTCGCGCCCAAGAGAGGCTTCATCCGCACAAGGAGTTGCCACCAAGGGTTGTCACAGAGGTCGATGTAAACCTGGAAGTTCCGTTGAATGACCCTCGTGGCTTCCGCTCGATAGAGACGCTTGAAGGCAATCCGCCGCTGCATATAGCCTCGGGCAACGGATTGGAACTTTGACATGATCTCCGTGATCAGGGCATCACGTTGTTCTTCGAGCTCGGCTAAGACACCAGCGCGGAAAAACACCTTGGTGAGACCAATCCGGTACAAAGATTTGTCGAGACTGAACCAGTCAAGCATGATCTTTGCCGCGGCCTGGCCTTCAATATACCCCTTGGGCATGTCGCGGCAGAGGACTTCATACCGCTGCCGGAATTCGGCGAACGATAGCCTGTTGGGGAAGCCTGTTCGGGCAATACGGATGCCCTCGAGTACACCGTTGCACCGCAGCTGATCGAGGACGAGGGGACCGTTGAATTGTTTTGCTCGCTTAACGTGGTTGGGAAGGATACATCGGACGAAGTGAGGGTGCGTGAGATGTAGTTGGGCCATGAGACTTGACAGTTGCTCCTTGTGTCTTTGGGCAACCGTGCGGAAAAGCCCTTTTTTGACCCTGCTACGCATACCTCCGGTCTCATCGTCCTGGTCAGCACAATCGACAAAAAGATTGGCAACGTGCTTATCGGTCGATGCGGCGAGCAAGCGAGTAAGGTTGTCATTCAAGGGGTCCTTGTTCTTGTCAAGCCAGCCGTCGGTAGAGTATTCGACCTCGGCGGCATAATGCGTGAGAATGAAACCTTGACCTAACCGAGAAGGCCGATACTTTTGTGACTTCTTATCCCACAAGGAGTTTAGCTTCTCAGAAAAGGTCTTGTCGGTGGCCTTGGGCATGACACAGTCTTCATCGAGACATGAAAAGATGCCAATGGGGTTGGAAACTTCGATCAGGTCAATGGTAGGCTGCAGGTCCTTGCCAAAGTCGATGAACTTCCACTCGATTTGTTCCCTGGCATACTCTTCTTGCTCCAGGACGAACATGTGATGGTTGAAAAACTGTTGCAGCTTCTCGTTGGTGTAGTTGATGCACAGCTGCTCAAAGCTGTTCTTCTCGAAAATCTCAAAACCGGCAATATCCAATACACCAATAAAACGGGTGTCATCAAGGCCCATGCCAGCACGATCAAGTTGTCGGTTGATCCTGGTCACGAGGTCGCCAAAGCCCCGCTCGTAGATGCCTTTCGCAAGAGCGTCGATGCTAAAGCGGACTTGTTCTGGTGTCTGTACCTTTTCAACCCACTCCCTCCCTGCTTTCACTTTGGGATGCAGCAATGCACGGAGGAAGGGCTCGAGGGGTACACCGAGCAGCTTGCAGACTTTCGCGGCGACCTCCTTGGCATCGGGAGCAAGGCGAGCCTGATCTGCCGACCTGCTCTCCTTGACAACAGAAATGTTTCCGAGGTGAAGAACAGCGGCAATGGTGCGTAGAATGCAGGCCTGCTCTTCATCCGAGAAACCCATCACCATAAAGGCTTCCATTAACGAGCTCCACTCGTCCTGGTCAGACACCCCTGTGATAATCTCTTGCCCGTCGCGAGTGTACGCGAAGTCTTGGACATCCAACCCATCAAGCAGGAAGTCTTGTTTCAGCCTCCGATCTGCTCCCCTGAGAAGTTGGTAGAAAATGTGATAGTTGCGCTCCTGCGCGTTGATTCGCACGACGCGAGATTTCTCAAAAAGATACCAGTCAATGAAGGCGCCGGCAATCGATCCATCGCGATTGAATTCGATTCTGATGAACTTGCCAAATCTAGAAGAGTTATTGTTGCGCACAGTTTGGGCGTTGCCAAAGGCCTCCAGAATCGGGTTGGCCCTCAAGATCTGGGCGGAGAGATTGGAGTGCTGTTGTTTGCCTCTAGTCTTCGCCGGTGACTGGGACTGAGCGACGGCAGCGAGGTACTGGATCACCTTCTTGGTGTTCTCAGTCTTTCCAGCACCGGATTCTCCGGTCACCAAAATGCTCTGATTCTCGTTCTCATCCGCCATATTTCGGAAGGCCTCGTCAGCCACGGCGAAGATGTGGGGTTTGTTGTCCTCCCTGTTCCTGCCCTTGTACATGTTGACGTATTCATTGGTGTATATCGGAATAGGGGTGTAGGGGTTGACCGTCACCAGGAACAGTCCGGAATAGGTGTAGATTAGGTCCGACATGTATCGTGTTTGGAGGTTGTGGACGACCGAGGCCTCGTTTAGGTGTGTGAGCTCCGCCATGTCGTTTGCTTTGTCGAACTTGGCTGGGTTTACTTTGTCAACGCTCTCAGCATCTACCTCCCGTTGCTGTCCCTAGGTCAGTAAGCGGTGAGGCCAGAAACTTCCAATGCACACTCACACTCCCATCATCACACTGAACCAAAAGTTTGTTTCCACCCAGCTCCTCCACCACCCAGCCCTTGACGAATGCCGTCTGCGGGTCCTTAAGCCAGACATACTTTCTGCCTGAAAAGTCGTTCTCACCCTCAATCCCCTTGACAACGTCGGTGGGCTTCCGCATGTCTTCGGTTTTGAGGTACGACGGCGCGAAGGTGCTCGAACTGGGCGTCCCCTCTCGAGAGGGACCGCGGGCATGGTTAATTCGAAGAGGCGCTGGCGGCGCCAATGTTGCTGCCGCAAAGTTCTGAGAACTGTGAGAGCTATGGGAGTTCGTCCTGGCGTGGGGAGGTGGGGAGGGCGCCCCTGCGAGTAGAGACGGCGAGGAGGGGCCGAGGACAGATTTTGGGCGGCCAGGACCATTCGAACCGGTCGAGGTCGAGGCGTTCCTCGCAAAAGGATTATTGCGAACCGACATGGTGCGCCTCTGTTGGGGGATCAAAAATCCAAGAGATCATGGAATACTGCCGGAAAACAATGTGGTAGTGTTGATTTGCTGAGGCTGCAGGGCCCTGTAAACAACATTCAAGAAAATGAAGCCCGGCCAAAGCGATGCATGTAAATGCGATGCGGGGCTAAAAAGGTAAGGTAGAATTGCAAGGGCCAGCAAGGCAAAAAAAAAAAGCAAAAAGCACAGATAAATCTGGCTGTGGCCTTCTCCTTTCTCCAGGTGGTTCAGTTTGGTTCTCTGGGGAGAAGTTGCTCAACTGGAGGAAGGAAACAAGAAGGTAACCTTGATGCCGCCCAACCTCAAGCTGGTTCGTGGTTGCCCCAGCACACCCCGGTCGAGTAAACAAACCCAGCAAGTGCCCGCCCACGGCTCGCTTGCTTTATGTCACTGGCTTGGACCGTGCACCGATTGCTAAGTTCGGACTAGCGCATAATGACCGAGCCTTTCGCCATGGACGCGCTTCGAATAACTGACCACCAACTCGATGCGAGTTAACCTGGACCTGAACATTTCGGTCGCGCGACCTGATCAGCATCTCAACTTGGAAAGCCAACCACAACGCAACTAGCACCGAGATTCGTCGTGCTATTTTTATTGTTGGGAATCCTACCCATTGGCATTTTCGAGTTAGCCCCCTCGTACTTGGTACATCGGGTTGCTTTCGGAGTGCTTTGCTCTTGCACCCCACGATCACCACAGACGCAGGTCCTTTGTTTCTCTCAACAAGGATCTCGGTACCTAATCTTTTGCTGTATTCCGTGCGCGCTTCGAATCCATCCCTCTTGGCTACGCAAACAAGGGTCAGCCTCAACAGCCCTCACCGTCCCCCCGTCGATTGTCGAGATGCACGAATTGTAGCGACATCCTCATCGCTGAAATTCTGCCATGTCGCAATACCCTCATCCGTATGGCTACAGCCAATACCATGGCGAATACCCGCCACCGCCGTATGCCTACCCGCACCCCTCCGGTTACCCGACACCCCAGACCGACCCCTACAACTCTTCTGCCGCACCAATATATCACGATGCTACACAAGCTGCTTTCAACATGAACATGAATTCCACGCATATCCCGGGGCTTGGAGTAGGCGGCGCGGTTCCTCATGAGACTCACCACAGCTTTTCGTCGAGTATTTCGCCTTGGGCGCAGCCCCCTGGGTTTTCGCAATTTGCGCCAAGTGGCCCGCCGACGCAGACCTCTGGATCAAGCCCGTACAACCTCCACCACCCCCACCTCAACGCCACCCACAATCCAAAAACTGGCGTACAGCCTCTGACGCAGCCCGTCCCGACTGCGGCGCACCCGACCGCCGAGGTTGAAATGGAGGAAGGGGAGTTGAGCGAGGGTCAGTTCGAGGATCTGTACGAGCCGCGGGAAGAGGACCCAGTTGCGCCCGCGCAGACCGTTTCCAAACCTCTACCTTTTCCAGTTGGAGACTTCAGCCAACCAGCAAGCGCCGCTGATACACCGGACGGGGGATTCTATGGCTCCGACGACGATGGTGGCGACTAAGGAAGCCAAGGGGAATGAAGGGTATGGGTTTCGGTCGCATTCCCGTTTCTTAGTCTCAAATTTACGGTGCTAATAGTTACAGATCATGAGCGACTCCGCGTCCTATTCGCCCGTTCCTGTCACCACGAGCAGATTCAGAAGCGGAAATTACCGGACCCCACAACCTGTCGAGGACAAGAGAGCTCAACCAAAATCGATCCAGCCCGTTGCTGGGGCGCCAAAACCTGCTGTCCCGGGCCTGGAAATTGTGACCCAAGCCCCTGCGACCCAAGCCCCGATCATACCCTCTTTGAACGGCGGTTCGACCCAGATCGGAAATACTGTGCCGACGCAACAAGCCGATCCATCGAGTTCTTTCAGATCCTTACAAGAAGCGAAGAAAGAGGCGCAGAAGGCGATTTTGCGGTTGTGGCCCTTGGGGGTCAAGTACCAAAATTATCTCGACGAGGGGTTCGACGAAAAACTGATCAAAAATCTTTTTCTGGATCTTCGTTTGGACATGCCTAAGACCGCCACCATCACCTCTGCCGCTCCATCGAAGGGAGCGCAGCAAACGGAGGGCAATGGAACTGGCTCGAATAAGCCAGGTCAGCCCTCCGACACACGCCCACAACACGCTCCTATCGCCACGAAGGACTCGTCCGCCATGTCCGAACAGGCAAGGAAGGGCGAGGAACGAAAAGACCGTATCGCAAGGCTCCTTGCAGCTAAGGCAGCCAAAGCACCAGCAGCACCGAACCCATCTGTGCCTACTCCCGCACAACCTAAGCAAACCGAGTCAACTGCGCAGGACGAGAAAACCGCGCCAGCGCCGCCAAGTTCGGCACCGCCAGCCTCTGCAACACCAGCTTCAGCACCGCCAAAACCTAAGACGTGGGGCGAGAAAGAACGTTTGATCTCAGCAGAAAATAGCCGCGCTCCACAAATCTCGAGAAGCTCAAAAGTCCACCGCTGATACAACTGGCTCGGGGAGTAATAACGGAGCGCCCGCCCCTTTCCCTACTTCAACAGGCAGCCCCACTCCTTTAGCTATCCCCACAGGTCCCAGGGCAGGCAAACGGTTCTCACGCGTCGTCGAGCGCCCAAGCAACCCCATCTCAACCTCGCCCGGCGTTGCCGGGCTTGATGTTGTCAGCCAGTGTCCCGCAGAATAATCCGAACCAACGCAAGCGTCCAGTGGCCTCGGATTTCGTTGAATATTCAGCGGTGTCCGCCCCTACCAAGCGACCCTTCGCCCAAGCCCGCAAAGAGACGTCGCTCATTATTGATGTGAGTGACGAGTCTAACGACGAAGAGATGGATATGGATATGGATATGGACATGGGGTCACCAGTTGATGAGGCATTGCCCATTCAATCCAACGGCGCGCTTGGTCAACGTGGACCAGCTGTCCGTGATTTCCCACCCCTTACGGATTCCTTCCCCCCGCGCCAGTTTTCGAGTCCAGCGCCTTCTGTGACTCCACCCGGGGGTCGGGTTAACAGCAAACAGCGGACTGAGCTTGATCTGAAAGAAAAAGCGATCCAGGATATGAGACGGAAGATCGCGCTTGCAGAGGCTAAGCGGAAAGTCAAACAGTCCTCTGGTGGCTCGGTGACGCCAGGCCAAACCGGATCAGAATCCAAAGATGGCGACACCCTTCGGCTGCCAGTTGGCCGACCGACTGAGTCCATGAGCAGCCCGCATCATTCAGACGGAGCTTCTGGCCAGCTTACACCGGACGCACCATCAACCCGGCTTTCCCAGCCAGCCGAGACGCTGCCTCTTGATCTGCGCCAGCGAGAACTGAGCCGTGACCGCATCATGAGTGTTCAAACACCTCGGGTTGCTTCACTCCTCACCGAAACAATGAAGCGAATGCAACAACTGCAAGCTGAACAAGCACGGTTGAAGGCCGAGATCGACAATAACGTTGCCGAGCAAAAGAGATTGGCCGATGAACTGCAAGCGCTGGAGACGGCTCCTCCGGCTGACAACTCACAGCCCAATGGGTTACGTTCGGAGAATGACTCGGGTGATTCCTCGTCTTCCGGCACCGCAAACGGTACTGGCGATCAACAGGACGAGGATTTCCCATTGCAAACAGCAAGCTTTTCGGCTGATACTCAAAATGATGCGTTGTCGTCAACTCGATCCGAGCCGGGAGGTATTGGCGTTGCATCTACGATCGAAGACGAAGTCCCGGAAGAAGGGCCGCAAGAAAGGCTACAAGAAGGGTCGCAAGGTCGATCACTGTCACCTTCCGTTACTAACCTCGGCACCGTTGAATCTGCTGATGTTGATTTTGCTGAGCGTCTGTCGAACACCTCGGCACAGGTCGAAGAGCTTGTGCCGAATGATGACATGGTCCAAGAAGATGATGGCCGGCGCCAAGGGGATGCTGGGATTGCCTTGGTGTCGTCACCCGAGTCACAGCCAGCTGAAAACAACACCCCTCCTCTAAATGTGCCCGAACAAGTGGATTCTTCGAAGGCCGACAAGACCACGCCTATGGAACTAGATTCGAGATCCCCTAGTCCGGAGATGCCGGGACCTACCAGCAACGTCGACCTAGAATTTCTAGGCCCACTGCCTGACCAAATATCGAGCGCCGCGCAACCCCGAAAGGCAGTGCAGGAAATAGAGACGGATGTTTCGGGAGAAGTACATGTCGTTTCTTCCTGTATCTCGGGAGCATCGAAGCTAACACAGTTGCAGGTGAATCATCGCCCAACGTCACAATCAGAAAACAGATTGAATTTTTACGAGAGCCCACTTCGTTATTTTCATGCCTATCGATTTCACCCGGAGTACAAAAATGCAGTTGCCGGTGGACTGAGGTCATTGACTTACAGCAACAGAATTGATCCCGAGAAGGAACTGTGCCCTTTCGAACTTACTGGAGAACAGTGCCCCGCCAACTGCGAGTACCAGCATTTCGGCTCTATCAGTCCTCCGGGTGAGTCTACCCACACCACAAACGGGCTGCTAACGTAAACGTCCAACTCCCCCCGTGGAAGCTGACTCCTGGCCCTCTACCTTCCAGATGACCAAATCCTCCTGGAGCTTGGGAATTCCGACGACTATATTGGCGAGCAAAAGAGCCGGTTCATCCAGGGCCTGCGGGAGCTCCTCCAGAAGTTCAAGGCCCAGAAAGTTAAGGACTTCGACACAATAGCGCGCGGAATCATTGAATTCCGCTCCCAGTTCCTCGGGGACAAGTCCAAGGTACTCCGCTTGGAAGGAGTCACCCTCTGATCAGGACGCTTTGCAGCCGGCCATCAGACTGGATGGCGACAGCCCCGCGCCGCCAGTCCAGTCTCATGTGCCCTCCGACAGTAGATCTATTTCCCGGCTTTCTTTTTCTTTTTCCAAGCGCGACTTCTGCAATTTGAACGTTCGGCGTTTCATTCGCACGGAACATCTTCTGCCTTCTGCATAGGCCACACGCCACTTCGGCGGGAAAAGGGGGAAAGGTCTCCATGTGGGACGGGGTGGGCGTTGTAGGGAAAGATACCCAGCTTTGTCAAAGCTTGTAAGAGTTGGCCCGGGGTGTTGAAGAGCGTGGGGGTGAGGGGAGGGAGAGAAAAAAACAATCGGTAGGGGTCAGTGGCATCCCCATATCTGGCGATCGGGGATAGTAAGATATCACTAGAGCCGCTAGGGCAAGGCAAGGCATGGCAAGCGCGACGGGCCACGAGTTGTCTGTGTTGCTCTGAATTCTGAAACGCAGAGAGAGCATAATCTACATGAATCGTATTTCACCGAGCTGTTAGGAATATTGATGCTCGAGCCGATCTCCTACACCTTTCGTATCTTGGGGGTAATAATAATAGGCAACTTGGCTGAGGCGTTTCGCTTCGCCGTGGCCAGCTCAGGAAGATGAAAACTAGATGACAAACTAGATGATAATTGACCGTCTTTCTACCCACAATTATTGTAAAACCGTGCCGTCACTCTTGCTCTCTTTCCATCTTGATAACCACTTCAAGTTCACATCGTTGGCTTCTCTAGCTCATTGACCCAACCAACAAACGAGACGCACCGGTCTATCAGAACATATCCTCAAAATTAAAATGACAGCATCTATAAAGAAATAAATCGCGTGTGCGTCCATTTAAAGCTTCGACTCCTTGCCCTCGGGCGCCGGCTGCTGAAGTCGAACGAGGCCCTGAATAGTAGCGTCGGTTGGTTAGCAAACGTTCCTCTACATCTTAGTGTGAGGAGCAAAGAAAGAGAAGAAGAGAAAACCTACCTCCTGCACACAGGTCGCCAGCAACGTCCCGTCTTTGCTAAAGATCTTCTGCATGACCACGCCCCTTCCATCCCCCGCCCACGGACTCTGCATCTCGGTGAGCATCCAGTCGTCGGCGCGCACCTTGGTCGGCTCGTGGAAGTAGATGGTATGGTCGAGGCTGACCATCATGCCGATGGTCGGCCGGCCCACCATCTCGCGCGGGTCCTCGCCCATACCCTCCCACTGGTGCAGCGTCTTGACCTTCAGCTTCAAGTCCTCGGGCAGCTGGTCGTAGTCCTCGGCCTTGAAGGGAAAACGCCACAGCTTGTGGATGCGCGTGATGGTGCCGATGAAGTAGCTGTCGGACACGTAGGCGAGCGCCTCGAGCTGCGCCGCCTGCCCGCCTGCGATCTTGCCGCGCGCCCGCACCCACTGCCGCGTCACCTTCTCCCCGGGCTTGTCCGCGCCCCCGGCGTCCACCACCTCGATCCGCGCCCCCTGGAACGGGCCCTGCGAAATCAGCTCCGGCTCCCCCGCGTAGTCGTCCGGCGGCGGCCGCAGCGGCTGCCCGTCGGGGCCGCGCGGAATCGCGCTGGCGTGGCTGACCTCGGCGATCTGCTTCTTCTTCTGAGGCGTCGCCGCCTTGGGCCCCTCCCCGCCCTCCTCCTCACTGCTCGTGCTGCCGCCGGACGTGTCGCGCACGAAGGAGATGGTGGTGGTGAAGATGCAGCGGCCGCGCTGGCGGGCCTGGACGGTGCGGGTGGCGAAGGAGCGGCCGTCGCGCACCTGCTCGACGTGGAAGAGGATAGGCAGCTCGGAGGTCGCCTCGCCCAGCATGGGAATGTAGCAGTGGGCACGAGTGGGACCCAGGAAAGTCGGGGGGCCCACGGGTCCCGCTGCGCCCGCGGCCAGGGCAACATGGGCGATCACGGCGCCGCCGTAGATGCCGCGCGCGCCGGGCGGGTTGCCATGGCTGGCGCGTGTTGGTGAAGATGTTTCCTGTTGGGGGGGGACGGCGTGTTAGGTGGTACTGGTACTTTGGGGTGTTTGGGAAGTTTTATGATGGGGGTTGCTGTTGTTGTGGGGAGGGGGTATGTCCAAAGGTGAGTGATTGCTACCCAGAGCGCCGTGATGTGATACAAAACATGGAAGCGGTTAACTGTTCCCTTGGATGACTTACAGGACCCAAAACGGCCAGCTCGGTTACCTCCAACGCATTTTCAATCTGTGCCTTCTTGGGGTCTTCAGGGGGCGGTCGGAGCAGAGTCGAACGATCGTTCATCGTATCCTGAGGCTGTGCCGAAAGTAGGTGCGCGGCGGTTGGGGGTTTCGTAACAAAGGGCTGGGGGTTGACAAGCTCGGTTGGTGATCCTTAAAGGGGTTCAACCGCGGCGTGTAAAACAGTGGATGCGAGTTGGCGAGATCGGATGATGGAAAAAATAACCAAGAACAGTAACACCGAGTATTCAATTAACCTCAGATCTTGAACATGCAGATTGATAAATTGGGACTTTATTTGATGCAGGCAATGAATGGTTTTAGTATTGGATGCGCAAGGCATGAACTTGAAGGTCCAAATTCCACATTTGATCCCATGTGTATCCAGGGCCCCACGCCTGTTGCCGAGGCTCTGAGGTGTCGGGCGGCACTGATTCCGGGGGTTGTCTCTCCCGAACTCCGTTCCTGACAGGCTGGGTCTGGACTGAGCCAGATCGATTAGCTAATCTGTGCCTGTTCAGCCTATTTTGGTAACATGCGGTACCTTGACTCTCCTTTGCGTAATCTGTATTCAACCTGTTTATAGGATTCGAGAAGCGAGCCCACTTGCAACGGGAAACTCTCGAGTGTTCATGAAGGCGTCATGCAACAATATATGGTAGGTAGTTAGAAGGTTACATTAATGTACAATATAACCAGTCTATTATTACGTTCTTGGAAGTGTTTCCGGCCTGGAAAATGGCCATGCCTCGCCACATCTTGCTGTTTCAGCATCCCGCTTAGTTGGCCATGGAAGTGTTTGTGCCTGCCATACCGTCTTTACTGTGTAATGAAAAAGAAAACTTTCTGCTCCCCTCTCCCAGCCAGCCACAATCCCACAGCTTAGGCACGTGAAATCCAGGGTCGTCGTTTGTTTTAGGTGGGGCGGTTGTTGCTCGCTTGAGCCGATCCAAAACTGTCCAAGCGGATCTCCAAGGCCAACGTCATCTCCCCAACCCCAGCCGACCAGGGATGTTGGAATCGCAGCCAAGGCGGTCTTTAAGCTAGAATCCCCACTCTGCCCCCCATTGCCCACCACGTTGCTGCTTCACCTCAATACCCCCCCGACAATTCGTCGCGAGAGTGCCTATGTTCTTTGACCAGCGTTTTTCCCCATTACAGTTTTATATTTGAAACCTTTGCACCTCGCAAGACCGCGCACGACTCGAATTCACTCCGATATTCGCTTAGCCGCCTGACGATTGCTGTTCTGGAGACTGCGGAGACCATGCCTGACGCGGGGGAGAGGTAGCACCCCTTAACCCACATTGTTGGACCCTGTCAACAACTACCGGCAGAAGCTGTTGCCCGTATCTGGGTCTCTGGTTGCCGTGGGGTCCGTCAAGTATCCCCGCTAACTTCCCATTCTGCACAGTTCGCATCGACGAACCAAATCCTCCGCTCTCTCCTTGCTTCGACGAAAGGGGGCCGAAGAAGACATGTCTTCCACCGAAGATGCGGCATCGGTCGGGTTGGGTTTGGGTAACACAACTTCGGCAACTTCCACCGCAGCGACATCCTCTGAGCCGGCGATCCCCACCACGCACCAACAACCCAAGGGTCATAGTTCGAGGCTTTCTGTGGCCGGGAGCGTAATGGGCCGGATTCCCTCGAACACCCCCTCGTTTGCGGGCGGAAGGTCGCCCAACCCGACCGACAAAGGGACCTCGCTTGAATCGTCCGTCAGGAAGTTTCGAATTGTCGAAGCCCTCCGTAACGGCGATACCGCCTTCATCTCCAAGGCCATCCGCGAAACCGCCGACAACGCACCCCGCCTGAGCACCTCGTCGTTTACAACTCAATCGGGGGCCCTGGAAGATACTACAATCTTGCACCTAGCCATACAATGCGCCGAACAGCCTGTTGTTGAGTACGTCCTGTCCGACGGGGCCGGTTCTCTCGACATCAATGCCCGGGACAAGGACGGCAATACCCCCCTTCACGTTGCAGCAACGCAAGGCCGCACCCAGGTCGTGCGTCTACTTCTCGAGAACAAGGAAATCAACGATGCCATTGCCAACCACCAGGGGCGTCTCCCCATCGACCTCGCTCGGAATCCCGAAATCTTCCAACAGCTACAACTGTCAAGATCCTTGTTCGCTGAGAACAAAGTTAGACAAATTCAGGATCTCATCCTGCACGGCGAGCTCAAGGTTCTAGAACAGGTGTTGGAGGAGCCACGCTTCAAAACGGTGCTAGATATCAATAGCCCCGAGTTCTCGTCGGAGCCAAACACGGTGCAAGCCGGCGGCACCCTGCTGCACGAGGCAGCTCGCCGTAAAAATAGCCGGCTGATTCAGGTTCTGCTACTGCACGGGGCTGATCCGTTCCGCCGGGATCGCAAAGGAAAACTGCCGCAGGACGTGACCAAAGACGAAATCACCCGCGCCATGTTGAAAAAGTCCCCCGCTGCCGTGGCGGCACAAAGGGGCATCCAAGAGAAGGCTGTCCTCGGGTCCACCACCCAAGGTGCGGCCACAGCGACGCCCGGCGATCCGCTGGCCGGACGGGAAGCGCGGGAAATGAAGGGCTATCTCAAGAAATGGACCAACTATCGGAAGGGGTACCAACTACGATGGTTCGTCCTCGAAGACGGTGTCCTCAGCTACTATAAGCACCAGGATGACGCTGGCTCTGCCTGTCGCGGCGCTATCAACATGCGTATTGCCAAGCTTCACATGAGCGCAGACGAAAAGACAAAATTCGAAATTCATGGCAAGTCCTCAGTTAAGTATACTCTCAAGGCAAACCACGAGGTCGAAGCGAAACGGTGGTTTTGGGCCCTCAACAACTCTATTCAATGGACAAAAGACCAAGCCAAGGAAGAGGAACGACAACAAGCGCGGAACGCCGAGCTGCTGAAGCAAGCCAAGGCCGAGCACTCTCACCTCTCAGAATCGCCGAGTGAAAACGCCAGCGTTGCCGAACAGTCGCGCAGCAGCATCCAGCTCACGCGGATGCATTCCTCGGCCCGTGCCTCTAGCAAGAGCGGATTCCCCACCATCGGGAGCAATGATGAGGATGACTTTGCGGATGCAGCCACCGAGGCGGACAAGACGGACCGAAATGGTGGGACCATTGCGGATGAAGCCGAGGACGATGACGAGTATGGCGAAGGGTCTAGTGGACAGGATGCCCCACCAGCAAACAAGGACGCCTTCAATATTACCGCCCAGTCCGCCAAGTTACAGCTCGAATCCATGTCCAACGTCACGGCGGCCCTGCTCCTCGTAGTCAAGTAAGAGCCCGGCTATTACCTTGGCTGACCCCAAGACATCGCAAGCTCTGGCCACTTACGACGCCGCCATCCGCTCGCTTACCGGTCTGGTTGGGGATCTACTCCGTATTTCAAAAGACCGCGATGCGTACTGGCAATATCGCCTTGACCGGGAGTCCGAAATGCGGCGTATGTGGGAAGAGAGCATGGCGCAGGTCGCCAAGGAACAGGAGGCGCTCGAGGCCCGTGTTGGCGAATCCGAACTGAAGAGGCGGATGACGAAGCGGATTCTCAAGGAAGTTGTTGAAAAAGGCATGCTTGAAAGCAGCCAAACCGGCCTTTCGACGGCCCAAGCGGCTGAAGCTGCCATCCAAGAAGAGGAGGGTGTCGCCGAGGCTCCGGCGGAGGCCGCAGGCGCAAAGTCACCGACCCATTCAGTATGTCTAGGCGGCAGACTGTGATGACTCAAATTGCCGATATTTCAGACTCCGAGTCCGACGAGGAAGAGTTCTTCGATGCCGTCGATGCCGGCGAAGTCGAGGTGTCCCAGTTACCCCCTTCGGAGCTCACCGCCTCTCAAGAAAAGCAGCAGCTCATTATCTCGGACACCTACGACATCAGCAACTCGTTCAGGGGCTACGAGAACGGCATTCGCACACGGTTGAAGATGGATGCGGATAATCGGCCGAAAATCTCACTCTGGGTAAGTTCGTAGGAAAATTTGCCCGAGGCAACTTGCTAACCCATCACTCAATAGGGCATCCTCAAGTCCATGGTCGGAAAAGACATGACCAAGATGACGCTACCCGTCTCTTTCAATGAACCTACCTCGCTCCTCTACCGCTGCGGTGAGGACATGGAGTATGCCGACCTCCTGGATCTCGCGGCCGACCGAGCAGACTCTGTCGAACGCTTGCTGTACGTGGCGGCATTCGCTGCCAGTGAGTACGCATCCACCATCGGCCGTGTCGCCAAGCCGTTCAACCCGCTGTTGGGCGAGACCTTCGAGTACGTCAGGCCGGACAAGAACTACCGCGGCTTCATCGAGCAGGTCAGCCATCATCCCCCAATCGGCGCGGCT